TTGTGTGAGCAACATGGCTGTTTATTCATCCAGGTGTGGGTGGGCTGAGTCCAAAAGAGAGTCAGCACAGGGCAGTGGGATAGGAGTTGGTTTTATAGGTTTGGGGTAGGGCAATGGAAAGTTACAGAAGTTACAGTTCAGGGTGGCTTTTGCAAGCTGGGAGTGGGTTGTAGGGTCTGGAGTCACAAGGTTGACCAGGGTCGGTCATAAAGTCCAGTTGCCGTATCAGTTGAGGTGGAAATAAGGAATAATAGAATATCTCAAAGTTAATTAGGCTCCACAGGGGTTGATTATTCTTTGCCTTTTTGTGGTTTTCCAGTTACTTCAGACTTTCTAGTTCCAGGAACTCATCTGGAGTGTACGCGCAGGTTAAAGAGGTTACCATGGCATAGTCCATGATGCAATCAGTCAGCCTAAAAGACCTTAAACAGCCATCTTGGCTTACTGCAATCTCTGCCTCCTGGGTTCAAGTGATTCTCCTGCCTCAGCCTCCTGAGTAGCCGAGATTACAGGCGCCCGGCACCATGCCCCATTAAATTTTATATTTTTAGTAGAGACAGGGTCTCACCATGTTGGCCAGGCTGGTCTTGAACTCCTGGCCTCAAGTGATCTGCCCACCTCAACCTCCCAAAGTGCCGGGATTACAGGCATGATCCAGTGTGCCTGGTCAGTTATATATTTTTTTATTTGTTATGCATATTTTTCTTTCTGCCATTGGGCATAATGACTGATTTAAAATCTTTGTCTTCTAATCTCAACATCTGGGTCATCTTGGGGTCAGTCTTCTTATTATCTTTTCTCTTAAAAATGGCTCTCACTTCCTGTTTCTTTGTATTTTGAGTTAGTCTGGATTGTTTCCTGGATACTGAGATATAGGAATAAGATGTGGATGCTTTGGATTCCATTATATAATTCCAAAGAGTGTTGAGTTTCCTGTTTTGGTAGCTTTGTGGGAGTTAGTATTTTTGGTTTTTCTGTTTTTCTGTTTTATTTTATTTTTTGTAGAGATGATTGCTATGTTGCCCAGGCTGGTCTTGAACTCTCGAACTCAAGCAATCCTCCTGCCTTGGCCTCCCCACATGCTGGGACTCTAAGCATGAGCCACTGTGCCTGGCCTCATGCTGACTTACAAACCATGCATGTCCTCCCAGCAAAAGATTTTAAAACTAACTCTTCAGCCTGGGCAACAAACTGAAAAATTAGCTGGGTGCAGTGCACGACCACACTCTCAGCTACTCTGGAGGCTGCGGTGGGAGGATGGCGTGAGCCAGGGAGGACAAGACTGCAGTGAGATGTGATTGTGCCACTGCACTCTAACCTGGGTGACAGAGCAAGAGCCCATCTCAAGACAATAACAACAAAAGCAAAAACATAAATCTCCCAGCAAGAGAAGTGGGCAGAGTTGCCACAACCTCCATCTCCCAGGCTCAAGCGATTCTCCTGCCTCAGCCTCCCAAGTAGCTGGGATTACAGGCATGTGCTACCACACCTGGCTAATTTTTGTAATTTTAGTAGAGACAGGGTTTCTCGATGTTGGTCAGGCTGGTCTCGAACTCCCAATCTCAGGTGATCTGCCCGCCTTGGCCTCCGAAAGTGCTGAGTGCTAAATGCTGAGATTACAGGCATGAACCATCAATGCCTGACCCAGTTGTTTGTTTCTTGTCCAGCCAGAATATGCAGTTGTCTGTGGAAGGGTTGGCCCTTGAGGACTAAACCAGAAGCAAGATATTTCATACACTGATTTCTACACAGTGCTCAGCCAGTGCTAGGAAACTGGTCCCAGGCCCCGCTATCATGGTGTTCCCAACTCAGTGGGGAGACAGACAGTAAACTCTTTCTTTCTTTTTTTTTTTTTTTTTTTTTTTTTTTTTTTTTTTTTTTTTTTTTTTTTTTTTTTGAGACGGAGTTTCACTCATGTTACCCAGGCTGGACTGCAATGGCGCGATCTCAGCTCACCGCAACCTCCTCCTCCTGGGTTCAGGCAATTCTCCTGCCTCAGCCTCCTGAGTAGCTGGGATTACAGGCACGCACCACCATGCCCAGCTAATTTTTTGTATTTTTAGTAGAGACGGGGTTTCACCATGTTGACCAGGATGGTCTCGATCTCTTGACCTCGTGATCCACCCGCCTCGGCCTCCCACAGTGCTGGGATTACAGGCTTGAGCCACCGCGCCCGGCCTAACTCTTTCTTTCACTTTTGTCCATTAACATCTTCAAAGGTCCCTTTCTTTCTTTCCCTCCCTTTTCTCCCTCCCTCCCCACATTTTCTCCCCTCTCCTTCCCTTCCTTCCCTTTCTTCCCTCCCTCCCTCCCTCACTTTCTTTTCTTTCTTTTTTTTTTTTAAAAAAGACAGGGTTTCACCTTGTTAGGCTGGTTTTGAACTCCCAACCTCAGGTGATCCGCCTGCCTTGACCTCCAAAGTGCTTGTCTTTTTTTTGAGATGGAGTCTCATTCTGTCTGCCAGGCTAGACGGCAGTGAGGCTCACTGCAACCTCCGCCTCCCAGGTTCAAGCAATTCTCCTGCCTCAGCCTCCTGAGTAGCTGGGATTACAGGTGCCTGGCTAATTTTTGTATTTTTAGTAGAGATGGGATTTCACCATGTTCTTCAGCTGGTCTCAAACTCCTGACCTCATGATCCACCGCCTTGGCCTCCCAAAGTGCTGGGATTACAGGCATCAGCCACCATGCCTGGCCCTTTCTTTTTTGAGACAGGGCCCTCCTCTGTCACCCAGGCTCAAGTGCAGTGGCACAATCTTGGCTCACTGCAGCCTTGGCCTCCTGGGCTCAAGCCATACTCCCACTTCAGCCCTTTAAGTAGCTGGGACTGCAGGTGTGCACCACCATGCACAGCTAGTTTTCTTATTTTTTGTAGAAGTGGGGTCTTGCTATGTTGCCCAGGCTGGTTTCGAACTCCTGACCTCAACGGATCCTCCCACCTTGGCCTCCCAAAGTGCTGGGATCACAGGCATGAGCCACCGCGCCCAGCCTCCTGCTTTCTTTCTGCATCTCTGTCTGTTCCTCCTTTTGTTCACTGGTTCATTTGACAAACATTCAGTGACACAGTCCAGAGTCAGAGCCCCCTCCTGGGTGCCGGAGATGTGGAAATGGCAGGCAGCCCCCATTCCTGACCCCTTGCTCTCATAGAGCTCATGTCTGAGAACAGACAGGTGGGGCTCCTTTGTGGCTGTGCCATTCATCTTTCAGCTCCCAGCTGAATGCAGCCGTCTCATCTTATTTTCAGCGCAAGACCCCGACGGCTAGAAGGAAGAAACTCTGGGTCATGCCATGACCCAGTGATAGAGCAGAACTACTAATTAGAGAAAGAAAAAGTCGGCCACAATTACGTAGCACTCATGGTGTGTCAGGGCCCTTTCTAAGCACTTTCAACATATTAATTAATTCTCATCACAGCCCACAAGACAGGTTCTGCTCTAAGCCCCATTTAAAGATGAAACAGATCCAGAGGGAGCAAAACTTACCCAATTCTCACAGCTTGTAAGTGGCAGAGCTGGGATTTTGGAACTCAGGCTGCCTGGCGATACAGTCCTTGCTTTTTTGTTGTTGTCGTTGAGACAGAGTCTTGCTCTGTCGCCAGGCTGGAGTGCAGTGGTGCAATCTCGGCTCACTGCAACCTCCGCCTCCCGGGTTCAAGTAATTCTCCTGCCTCAGCCTCCCGAGTAGCTGGGACCACAGGCATGCACTACCACACCCAGCTAATTTTTGTATTTTTAGTAGAGACAGGGTTTCACCATGTTGTCCAGGCTGGTCTCAAACTCCTGACCTCAGGTGATCTGCCTCAGCTTCTGAAAGTGTTGGGATTAAAGGTGACCACGCCCAGCCTCATGCGCAGCTAATTTTTTCTTTTTTATAGAGAGGAGGTCCTGCTATGTTGCCCAGGCTATTCTCAAAATCTTAGCTTCAAGCGATCCTCCTGCCTCGAACTTCCAAGGTGCTGGGATTATAGGCAGTAGCCACTGCTCCCAGCCCCAAAGTGTATTTTTTTTTTTAATGGGGGTTTCACCATGATGGCCAGGCTGGTCTTGAACTCCTGACCTCAGGTGATCCACCCACCTTGGCTTCCCAAAGTACTAGGATTACAGGCATGAGCCACCGTGCCTAGCCAAGTGTGTTTTTTAATTCAATTGTTTGCCTTCCCATGAGGACAGGGACTGTTGTGTATATTGGTCACTTATTGAGCAGCTCGTGTGTACCAGGCCCTGTTCAAGGTACAGGGGCTACAGCAGTGGACAGAAAGACGAAAACTGCATTCTCAGAGCTCACGTTCTAGAAAGGGAGTCAAGGCCTCAACAGATAAGGGCATAATTATAGGATGGCAAGCTATGCAGCCTGGAGATAAGGCGGAGTCAGGACGCAGAGCATGGGGCCACTGTTTAGCCAGGTTTGGGGGGCCTTTCTAAGGAGGTGACCTTTGAGCTGAAGGAAGTGATGGAGTCAGACTGAGGCTGTTGAAGATGGAAGGATGGTTGTCAGCCCAAAGATCCTTGGCTCCCTCCCTATCCTCTGGGTCTTTTTTTTTTTTCTTTCTGAGACAGAGTCTCACTCTATTGCCCAGGCTGGAGTGCAGTGGCACTGTGTCAACTCACTGCAGCCTCTGCCTCCCAAGTTCAAGAGAGTCTCCTGCGTTAGCCTCCTGAGTAGCTGGGACTATAGGTGCATGCCATCACACCTGGCGAAATTTTTTTTTTTATGATGGAGTTTCGCTCTTGTTGCCCAGACTAGAGTGCAATGGCATGATCTCGGCTCACTGCAACCTCACCTCCCAGGTTCAAGCGATTCTCCTGCCTCAGCCTCCCAGGTAGCTGGGATTATAGGCACGTGCCACCATGCCTGGCTAATTTTTGTATTTTCAGGAGAGACGAGGTTTCACCATGTTGATCAGGCTGCATGGTCTTTTTAACTCCTGACCTTGGGTGGTCCACCCTCTTTGGACTCCCAAAGTGCTGGGATTACAGGTGTGAGCCACCGCACCCAGCCAGTTTTAGTATTTTTAGTAGAGACGGGGTTTCACCATGTTAACCAGGATGGTCTCCATCTCCTGACCTCTTGATCCACCTCCCAAAGAGCTGAGATTTGCACGCTTGTGTACACACACACACACACACACACTGTTGAGGGCCAGTGTGCCCAACCTAATAGGTTGGGAACGGTGTTCATGCAAGGTAAAGTCATGACAAGGAATTTGCATTTTGTTCTAAGAGTGACAGGAGGGAAGAAGAGGGTCTGTCTGACCCGAGAAGGTGTCCACTGGCTCCTGGCTGCGTGTAGGGAACAGACTGGGGACACAGGTGGGAACAGGGAGAGCAGGGTGGGCTCATGGAGAACAGCTGGTGGAGGAAAGTCAGATTCGGGATCATCTTGAAGTCGGAGCCACAGAAATTGCTGCATCCTGACATGTTTCTCATCTCAGGAAACATTGCCACCGTTGACTCCATTCCTCACGCCACAGACCTTAAGTTCCAGGCTGTCTGGCATATTGAGGGAAGAGCATGGCCTCTGGAGCCAGCTGCATGGTTCCGGATTTAAAAATCCCACTTCTGGCAGGGAATTGGAGCTCACACCTGAATTCCCAGTGCTTTGGGAGGCCGAAGTGGGAAGACTGCTTGAGCCCAGGAGTTCAAGACCAGCCTTGGCACAGTCCCAGCCACTCAGGAGGCTGAGGCGGGAGGACTGCTTGAGCCTGGGAGTTGGAGGCTGCAGTGAGCCATGATCGTGCCACTGCACTCTAGCTGGTGTAACAGAGTGAGACCCTATTTACATTAATGAGTTAATTAAAATAATTCACTACTCATCAGCCAATGTGACCCCTTGGGCAAGGGCTTAACCTCTCTGTGCCTCAGTTTACCTGCTGGTAACACAAATAGTAATAGGACCTGGCTGGTAGGACTGTTGCGAGGATCCAGTGAGTAATGACTTAACAAATACTAGCTTTTCTTTCCTTCTCAGGCCATATGCAATCCCTCACCAAGTCCTGTGTGAGTGGCTTTTTCTGCCTTGGTGTTCGAACCCGCTCTGCCTGGGTTCTGACCTGTGGTTGGGGCAATGGGTGGGGGCTGGGAGCCTAGGTGAGCTCCCTCATACCTTCTCACCAGGTATTGACCTAATGGACATGGCTTCCGATATCATGCAGCCCAGAGGAGATGATGTGGCCCGGATCAGCTGGTACCTCCGTGACCTCATCACTCGATACCAGGAGACCTTCACCGTCATTGAGAAGGTGATTCTAGGGGGCTGGAGGGTATCCCTCTCCATGCCCGCCTCCCCTGGGCCAGCCCTGACACCACTCTTCCTGTTCCATCTCAGTGCCCCAAGCCTGTGATTGCTGCCGTCCACGGAGGCTGCATTGGCGGAGGTGAGTCTGCAACTGTCCTCCTGCTCGGGTGCTCCCTGGGTCACGCTGCTGCCCTGATGCCGCGGCCACTGGCATCCAGCCTCTGCTCTGTCAGAGGTTCAGGCTGTGTCCCAAGAGGCAGCAGTTCCATGTTTCAGGAGGCGGGGGTGGTTCTGGTGGTCATTCAGCATCCCTGGCCTCTACCTCTTAGGTGTGGACCTTGTCACTGCCTGTGACATCCGGTACTGTGCCCAGGATGCTTTCTTCCAGGTGAAGGTGAGTCATCCTCCTGAGCTCCTGCTTAGAGCTGGGCAGTGGGGTGGGATTGGGGGGCTGGAGTGAGCCCCGAGGGCTTCATGGAAGAGTCAGAGTCGAACCTGACAAAGTAAGACTTGGCCAAGGCCGGGCGCAGTTGCTCACGCCTATAATCCTAGCACCTTGGGAGGCCGAGGCAGGTGGATCACGAGGTCAAGAGATCGAGACCATCCTGGTCAACAAGGTGAAACCTCATCTCTACTAAAAATACAAAAATTAGCTGGGCATGATGGTGCGTGCGTGCCTGTAGTCCCAACTACTCAGGAGGCTGAGGCAGGAGAATTGCTTGAACCCAGGAGGCGGAGGTTGTGGTGAGCCGAGATCGTGCCATTGCACTCCAGTCTGGGCAACAAGAGCAAAACTCCTTCTAAAAAAAAAAAAAAAAAAAAGACTTGGCCAAAGAGGAAGTCAAGACGTGAAGTTGTGAGTGGGTAAGGTGTGGGGTGGGGTTAAGGCTGGCAGGTGCCAGGGGCAGGGATTGCCCCTGGGGCCATATTGGTGAGGGTGGGAGGCAGGATGGCTCCAGGGGGACGCAGTAAAGGGGTCTCGGGTAGGGTGAGGAGGGTGCCTCTCTGGTGATAGAGCTGCTCTGAAGAAGTAGGAGGCGGGTGAATGGGAAGGTGGGCTCTGTTAGGTTGAAGGAATCTGCCCGGGTCAAGAAGCTGCCTGGGATTGAACAGGGCTTTGGAGGGAGTCACTGGGGCGGAGGTGGTGGGGGGGACTCTGCAGTAAACATGAAATTTCATGGACATGGGGTTGCATGGGGCACAACATTGGGCAGAAACCAAACACTGACCGGATTCCTCCCCCAGGAGGTGGACATAGGTTTGGCTGCCGATGTAGGAACACTGCAGCGCCTGCCCAGGGTCATTGGGAACCAGAGGTGGGTGCAGAGGGTGTGGGGGTGTGGGTGGGGGACCAGAGAGCGTCTCCCAGCCCTGGGGTGGCAGCCACTTCCTGATGCATGCTCCCCCCTTGCAGCCTTGTCAACGAGCTGGCCTTCACCGCCCGCAAGATGATGGCTGACGAGGCCCTGAGCAGCGGGCTGGTCAGGTAGGTGTTAGGCCCTGGTGGCTCAGTGCTGGGGGCAGCCAGGCCTGAAGGGATGGAGGCTTCTCTGGGTCCCCTTGTCTCCTTGCTCCAGAGTTCCCAGTGGCATTCTTTCTTGGAGAGGTCATTTCTCTAGACGTCAGCCCCCTGCTCCTATTGGGCTGTTTGTCTGAGGTCTTGGGCCTTCCTCCGTGAGTGGCGCCTCTTCACCTGCGGGAGACTGGGGGAGAGAGCCCTTCCTAGCCCGCCCGGGCGCCAATCTCTTTCGCTGCAGCCGGGTGTTCCCAGACAAGGAAGTTATGCTCGATGCAGCCTTAGCGCTGGCAGCCGAGATTTCCAGCAAGAGCCCCGTGGCGGTGCAGGGCATCAAGGTCAACCTGCTCTACTCTCGCGACCATTCGGTGGCTGAGGGCCTCAACTACATGGTAAGGCGCACGCTCCGACCAATCACAGCCCTCCTCTAACCCCAGGCGACCAATCAAGGCGCAGGGTGATTGGATGCCTTATCCTGATTGGCCCCTGCTAACCTCTCGCCGGTTCTTTCCCACGCCCTCGGCACCAGGCGTCCTGGAACATGAGCATGCTGCAGACCCAGGACCTCATCAAGTCGGTCCAGGCCGCGACCGAGAAGAAGGAGCTGAAAAACGTCACCTTCTCCAAGCTCTGAAGCCCTTGCGTCTTAGGCCCCAGCCAGGGGGCTGACCTTGACCCACCTCATCTGCAGAAAGGGAAGATGGGCGGTGACTGTCCTCTGTGCCTTCTTACCCCATCTCCCAGTTTATAACTTTATGACACTGACTTCCTCAAGCCCAAGGACTTATCTTCACCCCACAAACAATAAAGCAAAGTAAAGAACCTGGTGCCCTACTTGGAAAGAGGAGAAGTGGGAAGGGCTGGGATGTATCTGGGGGCTCCAGAGACTGCAGCCCTGAGGGTTGGGGCTAGAGATTGTACACATGGGAATGGGTGGGATGGAGGTGATGGCCATTCAGACTGGCAGCAGGCAGGCAAGGGTCACGAGGAAGCCGGGGAAGGAGAGAGTGAGCAAAAGTCACTGAGCTATCTCTGGGTTGCAAGGCTACCAGGTCTCCCTGCCTGCCCTGGGGTTGAGGGCAGTGTTTGTGCCTTGCCTGGCACCTCTCACTCCACAGCACATGGGATCCAGTGCTGGCGTCTGGCTGGGATTCCCTTGTTACCAAATCTTGAGCCTCATTTCTTTCTTTCTTTTCTTTTCTTTCTTTTTTTCTTTCTTTATTTCTTTTCTTTCTTTCTTTCTTTTCTTTCTTTCTTTCCCTCTCTCTCTTTCTTTCTTTCTTTCTCCTTCCTTCCTTCCTTCCTCCCTTTTTCTTTCTTTCTTTTCTTTCTTTCTTTCTTTTTTTTTTTTTTTTTAAGACAGAGTCTTGCTCTGTCGTCCAGGATGGAGTGCAGTGGCATGATCTCAGCTCACCGCAACCTCTGCCTCCTGGGTTCAAGCGATTCTCCTGTCTCAGCCTCCCAAGTAGCTGGGAGTACAGGCATGCATGACCACACCCAGCTAATTTTTGTACTTTTAGTAGAGATGGGTTTTCACCATGTTGGCCAGGCTGGTATCAATCTCCTGACCTTGTGATCCTCCTGTCTTGGCCTCCCAAAGTGCTGGGATTACAGGCATGAGCCACCACGCCCAGCCACCTCATTTCTTTAAAACTTTGGGGTGCTGGGCGCGTGGCTAACGCCTGTAATCCTAACACTTTGGGAGGGCAAGGTGGGTGGATGTCTGAGCTCATGAGTTCACGACCGGCCTGGGAAACAGGGTGAAGCACTCTCTCTACTAAAAATACAAAAAATTAGCCTGGTGTGATGGTGGGCGCCTGTAATCTCAGCTACTCAGGAGGCTGAGGCAGGAGAGTCACTTGACCTGGGAAGTGGAGGTTGCAGTGAGCCAAGATCTTGCCAATGCACTCCAGCCTGGGCCACAGAGCAAAACTCCGTCTCAAAACAAACAAACAAAAAACTTTGTGGTTTCTGGCCAGGTGCAGGGGCTCATGCCTGTAATTCCAGCACTTTGGGAGGCCAAGGCAGGCAGATCACTCGATGTCAGGAGTTTGAGACCAGCCTGGGCAACATGGCAAAACCCAGTCTCTACTAAAAATACAAAAATTAGCCCGGCGTGGTGGCATGATAGCCAGGCGTGGTGGCACTTGCTTGTAATCCTAGCTTTTCAGGAGGCTGAGGCGGGAGAATGGATGTTGCAGTGAGCCGAGATGGTACTGCTACACTACGGCCTAGCTGATAGAGCAAGCCTCCGCCTCCAAAACAGAAAAACACTTCAGGTTTTTTATCCATGTATCATCCCAATCTTCTGGATTTACATTTGGAATGACTGCAAGAGACCAAGCATTAATTTAATGACCTCTATATGCCAAGTCTTATTCTGAGCATTTATTACCTTAATGATCAAAGACTCTATGAGGTTGATACTATTATGATTATTATTATGACTGTTATTGTTATTTTTAGAGACAGGGTCTTCATCTGTCACCCAGGCTGGAGTGCAGTGGCAGGATCCTAGCTCAGTGGACCCTTGAATGCCTGAGTTCAAGTGATCTTCCTGCCTCAGCCTCCCAAGTAGCTAGGAATTCAAATGTGTGCTACTACGCCCCACTAATTTTTGAAACTTTTCGCAGAGATGGGGTGTCGATATGTTGTCCAGGCTGATCTTAAACTCTGGGCTCAAGCAGTCCTCCCAATTCAGCTTCCCAAAGTGCTGGGATTACAGGCATGAGCCACC